CAAACGAACTTGGGATTCATTGCATTCTTTTTTATTAAAAAAAGCAGTATCAATTTCACTACGCAATGCAAGTTATATTTTATGACAAACAACTTTTATCCTCATTAATTATACACCTTCTGCTATGACGATACAAAATCCCCCCAATAAAAACTGAATTTTGTTATAAGCGTGTAATGAATTCCACTTCGTGACATAAATTGCCGGATTACTACATATTTCTGGATATAGTGAGCCTATTAAGGGGCGACAATTTGCAACAATATGCGGGAAATAAATACAATAATTAAATATATTATTGTATAATACTTTCCCATCAACAGTTGCGGGCTATTTCGTTTCGCCACTTCAGAATTTGCATGTTGTATCATTTCCTCGCAAATGTTCTCTACACCTAGCTTGGGATCGTTGAAAAATATTTGATCTTTCTTCGATTGACGCTAGCCCATCGGGTAGCAGTTTCCAAGCATCCGCAACAAACGTACTGAGCTGTTTTCGCGGGTGCACCCAGCAAGGAGAGAGAGAACGCGGCGATGGAAAGCAAGCGACTCTAGTCAAGCGCGCGGGTGGCAGCGGCGGGGCGGGTCGCGGGGCGTGGCGGGGCTGTCGTCTTGGCGAAAACCGCGACTGCTGTCTCCCGGTCCTCAACGCTGGCGTGCCCTGAGCCGCCGCCCAGCCGCTTGGAGCGCTGGCGGCGGCCCCTCCCAGCCACTGGCGTCAGCGCGTAATTGCCAGCCGAAAATAGGCGGCACCGCCCGTTCCCAAGTGCCACTTGATCTATTGCAGCGACAATCGGAAAACACGAGATTACTGACCGAAGAAACAAAGAAGAATAATTTATTTCAGGGAGCTGTTTTTCCATTTATATCTCACTTTAATTATGTATTGTTAACGAAGTCGCATACGTATCAGAGAAGTCGCATACTTTTGAGATAATATCTAAATGGTATGTTCTATAATTATTAATGGAATTGCTGTTTCATTCGAAATGGCATTCAGTTTTCTCGAGGTCTAATATAATCGTATGGGGCATGTCTCATTTATTTGTAATTGAGCTCCTCACGCATCAGGTACAACGGACCCGTGATGCAAACCCCTGAGGAATGAAATAAAAAGTCATGATTTGTTCTGATTTCTAGCTTAGTTTCATAAGCAGAATGTGTAGCCCTATAATATCTAAGAGAACATGCCAACTTTGTTTCTTCTATTGCAAATACCAAAGAAGCGCCTTTGTTGTTGACCGGGAAGCTAATGAGAGCACGTTTAATTTTAATGATGCTTGGTAAGATAAATATTTAATTGTAACGTTTGGATCCACTGACGTTTTAAAACATTTAGCAAGAAAATTGGTGCTGTTGATATCACAGTCACCATCTAAATTTTTTTCATAGTATTATGCTGACAGAGTAGTCGCGGTTTTAAAAAGTGTACATGTGCTCTCTGCGAATTGCATTTTTTATTAATTTGTTTCCTTTGGGATCAAGATCCGCAAATGAAGGTCCCATTGACTTTACGTTCCTGAGATATGTACTTAACTGTAATCACATTCTCATTTTTGTGAGAAAAACATCGAGTGGTGAGATAATACCTTTGCCGTCCTCTGTTTCATCATTGTATCGGCACATTATATCTTTTTATTTTACTCTAATAAATTAGCTAACAATCTGAAGTGTAAAGTATGTACAATACACTGAATTAACATATATTATTTTTCTTTCGCTTACTGTTTGAATTTCTAAACTCTTATATAAATAACATTCATTGTAATGTAGTAAAGTCATATCATTACCAAACATTTTTTGTAAAAAAATAGGTACTGCATTACACTGAAAAACTGAAATTTGATGAAGTTAAATAGATACGAAAACTTGAATAAATTTGTCTCCTCATGAAATGAAAGAACAAAGTTTTTCATGTATCTGCACAAGATTTGCATTGTTATTAAAGTTAGAAATATCTTTTTTTCTACTAACCGAGCGTTTTATTCATGCACATCCTTCACAACTCCTGTATCCCAGCGTAAGCATGTTCAAAGTGCAGTAGAACCCCGCAAATCCGAAATTTCGTTCAATGCGAACAAACCTCGAAATGGAGGTAAAATAAACAAAAAAACATCTGATTTGTATTAACTTAATTCATGAACGAATAAGCATGAAAACAGTGTAAGTCAACCCAATTCTGAATACTGTAAGTAGAATACCCGTTAATAGCAGCGACATTGTGTTTCAACTCTTCTAAACAACGAAGCAACCACTAGCGCATGCGATCTGTTATATAAGTCCTCTACTCCGCTTGTCGCAACATTGCCATCTACGGTATGTTGCATTGTGTCTGTAAATGTATTTCTATATGTATGGTATATTTTTTCGGTTAACCCGAAATTTCGGAATCCGAACAGGTCACACCCCCAATTAGTTCGAAGTATCGGGGTTCTGGTGCATTAAAACGCCAACGCGAGCGGTGCCTGGAAGCGTTTCCCATCGCACCGAGCGCTTCGAACAGAAACTCTCTCACAGCGGAGTGGCGCGTCCGTAGCGCCTGCACCCGATGACATCTGCCGGTCGCGAGCCGCCGCAGTCTCCTGAAGCCCGGGGAAGGACGGAAGCAGCTTAACGGGCCGTGAAATTCCTCCGCGAGGGCCCTGCTCAGGCTGCCGGGCGGCGCTGCGTGTGGGCGTGGCAGGCGGTGCAGGGAGAGGGATAAACACCGGCGCCTCGGCTCGCTTTGATTGATTGATTGAAAGTGATTCCGGGCGGGCCAACTAAGGTCGTTATAATCCCGTAATTGTAGTGTATGTTTTGCTTGGGAGAGGGGGATAAGTGGTGGTGGTGATGCTCTTCCTCAGCTGAATGGCGAGATCGGCGCCGACCTTCCGTCGGCTAGCGACGTTTTTCCTCAACCAGGTATCTCCCACCAGCGGGGCACCGACCCAGCCAGGACCAGCTCTAAGCTCCCGACCGGTCTCCCGGCATGTGTGGTAGTGTAGAGAATGTTAGTGTAAGTGTGTGTAAGGGATGAGGATAGGACAAGGAAGAGGTAGGAAAGATCGCGCGCAGTCCACGGTCCGTTTGTTAGGTTAGTGCATTTGCCTGCTATTGATCGGAGAAACCACGGAAAACTACCGATCAGAGCAGCCGGCCGCTAGAATCCTGCTCCAGGCAGCGACTTAATTCGGCCTGGCTGACAAGCTAGAGCCGAAAATTCTGCCGCCGTCGGGACTCGAACCTAGGACAGCTTGGTCTCGTCACAGAGGCTTGGCCAAGTAGAAAAAAAAGGGTGCGCGCGTTTATCTGAAAATGCAAGTAAGGGAGGATCAATAAGCCCACGAAGCATGTGCTCCTGGTCTTGGGGTCTTTCAGGATTAAAGCCCCAAGTAAATTTTTAATTAATTTTTTTTATTCTATTCATTGTTTCGTCATTTTTTTTAAAAAAAATTGCAATGATACAGTTTATGTTAATATTCATTTTGAACAAACGTGTTACAGGAATTCAATATTGTTAAGTATTCTCGTGCTCTGGCCATGTTTATGATCCCTGTAGATATTAATAAAGATAGCATTTCCTTCCATAGTCGATTGAGCATTCCTTCCATAAATAGTTGACAAGAAGGAATTTAAGATTACGATATAGGAACAAGTTGTTATTAGCCTCCAAGAAATGAAATTACTTGAAAAATATGTTTAATGTAATTTAATGCATTCAATAACGTTTTTTACTTAAATAGCGCAACATGTTTGACCCTGAACTTTCAAAAGAGTCGATGGAAATGTAATTAAATTTTGGAGTGTGTGCAGAAACATAGTAGTTTCAATTGATGGAGTCCTTAACAAAAAGTTTATTGATTCATTACTTATTTCATTGCAGAAACATATGCAGTATTAGAAACAGATAAATATCAAAATAATAACACAAAAACATCGTTGTTTAACAGACAAAAGTAATTGCCTCAATTATCAAGGCAACTTTACCAAGTTTCTTAATAATTTTGACGTTCAAAGAATAAGACCTTCACATTATTGCAATTTTAAACATATTTTCTACTTTCACTTCTGGTTTTTATACTTCAAAGCAAAGAAACGTTAAGAAAGTGGAAATAAGTCTTGAAGGGAACGCATGGCTCTCAGTTCTTACTTTGGAAACCCCTAATCTGGAAGGGAGCCAGGAGTTTGTAACAGGGAAAAATATACTGATGGATGATGTAAGGTTCAAAACTGTGGACAGATAAATTAGCATTAGCGTTTGGAGACGCCTCTGGAAGGGAACAGAGATAAATATTTTAGTGAAAAGTAATTTTTCTTAATAGTAGGATCCGCAAAGGATAAAAGACAGCTTATTCAAAATTAAAAATTAAGAAATAAAATTTTATGAACTCCTTTTAATGTTATTTTTGGTTATAGACAATTATGAATTTTGATAAATGACAGATATTTATTTCCGAGTATCTATTAGGTATGAATTTACTTTTGAAATTGCAAAGAATGGAGTAAAAAGCTTTTTAGTACAAAACATTGTTGGACCTCTTTGAAAAAGCCTTTTTAAGCAGATTTTAAAGGATTTCAATTTTCGGCTACTTTACATGAAGCCTTAGAAACATTTTCAAAATCTTTTCAGAAATGGCTCCAATTGTTTTGATATTTTCCCCCTCGTATAGAGCAAAGGTCACATAAAAATGTCCTAGGTCTTATTTTTGTAGAACTCTGAGTTTTCGGCAAATTGCAAAGGTTTTCGATCTTTCCTACAACTACAATATTGAAGAGATATTTTTTCCTTAAAGAAAACTATTCATAGAAGATAGCTTTTTAAAAGATCTTGTTGCATGTTTCAAAAATATGAATAGTTATAGAGTTCTTTTATTTTAATTAAAGTAAATTCTTAAACAATTCTTTTCTCAAAACACGGCAAAAATTTACTCAAAACAATTTTTTTCCTCAATTTTCTCCGACAATATAAAGATATGTTTAATTAATATTGGTTTTGGATAGTTTGGTAGTCCGGACAAGTCCGCATCTCTTGTCATCTGGATATAAAACAGCGGCGCTAAGAGATCTGGGGACTCGACTGCATTCGGATTAGTGAAGCGACATCACTGGGGGATCCGAGGGGGCATGGGGAAAATTCACCTCCCAAAAAAAGGTATAGAGTTTTTGTTTACCTTTCTTTAATTGGCAAAATTGATTTAAACATATATTTATGTTCGAATTTTGTAATAATTTAAACAATATTGTGTAGTATCTTATTATCTACAGTACATAAAGAATAGACAATATAATAACAAATATGTTTATTATTTAACAAAAATATTCGATTTCCCTCCTCCCCCAAATGATCGGCTGGATCCGCCCCTGAGCAACATCAATAAGACGCACGTTTTATTTCATCTCTCCTTTCGCTTCTAGTGGTAGAAGTAGAGGAAAGGGCGAGTTACTATTTTGTTAGAAACAGAGAAAAATTAAAAGTGCAGTTCGTTTACCGTTCTAAATTAGCTTCCTATAACTGGGGAACGAAAATGTCAAGTATTTCAAATATTTTTAATTTTGCACTTAAATAAATATATAAAAATAAAATTTTAATAACTTTAAGTTTTACATATATTCTTTATAGTTAAATGATGGGAAGGGATTCTGGAATTCAAGAAAGCAGGTGATCTTCTTCCACATATGTCACATACTTTTTTTGTTGTTTTTTGACTAAATAAATCAAAATCTAAAACATCGATGTTACCAAATACCAATGTTCAAATCGAAAAGAATCTTCGTTAATAATACATCGATAATAAACCATCGATATTTTTGGACTTTGATGTTTTATATCTGGTTTAGTAACCTTTAATATTATATTGGTGCTCAACAAAATTTAATTTGACAGTTAAGAATGTTAAAAAAATATAAAAGATCAGTGAAATGGAGCAAAACTCAAAACTAAGCTTCAGCACCGAGGCATCTCTACGGGGCAGTCCTCACTTCGCAGGTGCAAAAGATGAAGCAATGCATAGGAAATATCAGGGCGTCGGGATTATCTCTGACGAGTCTGCTTGACGAATGTAGTACAAACAGCGTTTCTTTGTGTCAAACACAAAAACCGACAGTGGTACCATAAGTTATCACTTTATATTTTGACTTTCACAAAGTTGTAATTATCTGAATTATTCATTTAAAAACAACTCACGGAAAAGGACAAAGCATGGAACACACAAATCGATTTAAAAAAATCGTCATCAATATATAGATGTTTAAAACACCAGGACATCATTAATCATGGCTGTTCAATCCAAACGTCATTAAACCCTGGCTGTTTTGAACACATCGTGAATGGCGTCGGAAGCGCGCTCTGGCGGTGGGCGGGGGGCCGCGCCTCCGATGCGCGCCATCGCCCTTCTAAACGAGGGCCACGAGCTCTGAACCGGGCTTCCTCCGCCTCCCGGCCCCGCCCCGCCCCGCGCCCTCGCCCTGCAACGCGGCACCTGTGGTTGCCCCGGGCTTCAAAGCGCCTCCGCTCCCCTCGCACAGGCACGCAGCCAGCCTCGCGACGCGGCGCCAAGGGCCCCTCCCTCCCCCTTGCTCTCTAGGGTGGTCAGGGCCGCTCTGGGCGGGCGGGGGCGAAGATCGTCGGTGCAACTGGTGGCGCTACAATCGTCTCAAGTTTGCGGGCGTGCTCTACAAATAGAAGATGGGGTGAAAGGGGTAAAACAAAGAAATAAACGGCACCTCAATGATGTTACATTTGAATAGGAAAAGAGTTATAGAGAAATTACTATAAGATGGAGCAATTTC